TGGTGCCAGAGAAATGTTATGTATATTGTCTTTACTTCTTTCTATAGTCCCTTGCTGTGTGATTCTAATCTGTATTTTAGTGTAATTTCAACATAGTTTTTATGTGTTAATAAAACTTGAACACATTAAAATGCTATTAAACTGTTACACATGGTTAATAATACTTATGGACTTCTGAAAGTAGCTATTATTAAACTGAACAAAGTCATTAATGTCTTTAAACTTTGCACCAGGATGTAAAGTACAAAACAGATGTCTAACTGCATCTAGAGGATAGTAATGATATCTGACTATGTATGTTTCTTCTTTTTTTACCATATATTTTTACTGTATCTTTTATATTTTGTATTTTAAATTAAAAAGTACTTTAATAAAAATAAAAGAGTAATGCATTGGATTCTAGTATGTACTTTCCTAGTAATTGTGACTGTAGGCAGTTGACAGAATATAAACCTCAGGCCTTTGTGTCTTCATCTATCTCTATAATCTTCTTCAGCCCTAAAATTCAATGAGTAAATAAGAAACATCCATTTTCATTTAAGACTAGAAATGCAATCTTAAGATATTGTATTTCCTGAACAAAAATATATTTTCATTTATTTTAGATAACAAATATAGTGTGTGAATTGCAAAAATATTTTTTTTAAATGTCATCAGTTGTCAATCACATTTTTCTCTATTTTAAACATTCATGTTGTTAATTTGATATCTCTTCATTGGGCAATATAAATTTACTCACTGAAGAGTCTGAACTGCCTAACACGTATATTAGTAAAAATAAGTTTTGATGTTTGAAATGCCCTTTCATTTCTCCAGAAATGATCTCCGAAGTATGGATATAGAATTTACTTGAACATTTAATATTACTATGCACCTAACAGCCCAGTAATGGTTTATCTAAAACTAATGTTAACTTATTTTGCTTGAAATGGTTAACTTACTTATGTCAGTATTCAAAGCACTATCACCTATATTATTTGTTCACAGTAATGAGGAAACTAGCTATATATCACTGGCTTATTCATTTTACTGTCTTCAGGTTTAAGTAATCCTTTTTCTTTTTTCATTCTTTTATTTTCTATTGAAAGACTGTCTATGCCTTTCAGAATTTAACTACTATACTACTTCAGGAAGATGAATTAATACTAGCTACTCATTATACATCATTGTTGCAATTACAAAATAATCTAAAATAATCAAATGTCTTCATGAGAAAAATCAGTGATGAACACACTAGAAATCTGACACACCTTGGACCTGGAGAAGCCCAATAATTAAAATCGGAATAGTAACGTGGAGATGTTTAAATGTACACTTCATGCTCAGCAATTTCACCCTAGGTCTAAGCAGCCATGGCACGTGTAGTGGAATAGGCTCCCTCAGGTGCACCTCTGTTCAGAGCTTCCTCTCCAGGCCTTAACTGGTCAGGCTTCTCACTTACAACTGTCTGGTAGACACAGGAGTGATTCAAGGAAGAAGAATCTGGCCACTATAGTTGGGATATGAAAGTGGCCTTACGAGACATCTGGATAACAGCAATAAAGCAGGCATACAAATGTTAGTAACTGAGACTCTGAATCAACTTAAAAAATTCTGTAATGATGACTGAAAAATTGAACACTTGAAATAAATTACTTTATAAACAGAAAATAATAATATGGTTTGTTAAGTGGGCATTACATTTACAATGGAATAAAATACCTATTTAAGAGTTCACATGCACTGAAAAGTAGAAGAAAATAAATAATATTCTCACAAGAAAAAAATTCAGAAAGACAGATAAGAGGTTGAGAAGTAAATATTAGAATTGAACAGAAATTTTTAAAAAGGATACAAAAAAGAGTGAAATGCATGAAAACCAGTTTTAAATTTGTGATTTGCAATATGTATCCAATATTAGTACCTGAAGAAGAATTAGTGAACCAGTATTAATGCACAAAAGAATAATAGAGGAATAATACAAGAAAACTTTCCAGACATGAATAAATGAAAAATATATAACATGGCATATTCCAATTAAATGCTTAAACATCAAAGATAAAAGGGAAAGGGATTAAATTTTAAGTTCTCAACTTGCCAGTCATTGGGATAAATATTTCACAAATCTTTTTTAATTAAAGAAGTTAAAAACCATGTCAGCTTCCAAGAAGGAAATGAATCAATTACATTCATAAAACATAATATTCTTGAAAGTAGGCCATTCTCTGCTGTATTTTCTGCAGTGACAGAGATGAAAGCAAAATAAAGCATCAAATGCATAATCCTCAGTCAACATAAGCTCTAAGAAGTGTGAACTTCACCAAGTTCTAATTCATATGTGAAGCCAAAATCACAAGATGTCTTAGGTCGACATTTTCAGATTTTCCAGGAAATTTGAAATGGTAATACATTCTTTTTTTCAGATGTAATTACAAACATGGATTTCAATTGGAAGAAAATTTGTTCTCCTAAAATCACTAGGGAACCAATCGTATAGAATATTCTACAGATCATTGAGGGCTGAAATATTTTAATAAGGAACTTTACATCAAAAAAAGACTTCACGGGCTTCCCTGCTGGCGCAGTGGTTGAGAGTCTGCCTGCCGATGCAAGGGACATGGGTTGGTGCCCCAGTCCGGGAAGATCCCACATGCCATGGAGCGGCTGGGCCTGTGAGTCATGGCCGCTGAGCCTGCGCATCCGGAGCCTGTGCTCCGCAACGGGAGAGGCCACAGCAGTGAGAGGCCCGCGTACCACAAAAAGAATCAAAAACAAAAGCAAAACAAAACAAAACAAAAAAGACTTCATGATAAATATTCTTAAAGTGAAAATTTATAGGCTTGGATAACTATTTTCCCAATTAAAATCAAACAAAATTTTGTGAGCTGATTAACAAACAAACCAGCAGTCAGAACCAAGACGTTAACTCTGATTTACATAAACGTTGAAGGAAAATGAGCATAGAGAAGACAAAAAAATATATATAGTTAATCACATTTTTAAGAGTAAGAGTCTTTAAATTCAACTTGAAGAATGCAAAATAGAGATAAAAACAATAAATTTGATATATTATTAAAGTAAAAAAATCATTATTTTATTATGGTTTAAATAACTGTATCAAAAGCTAATTCTTAACCCACATACAAATCTGATGACTTAACATTCAAAACTCTCCTTCCCATAGTGTATGAGTTTTCTTTTGTAAAGAGACTGTCTGAAGACTGTGCTAACCTGGAACCGCCTCTGATGGCTCCACCCAGTCACTGTGCAAGTCCCCTAGAATGTGCACCTCCCCAGGCACTTACCTTTCACAGACTTTCAGGAGATTACACGCAGCTTGAATCAGCAGTGAAAATTTTGAAAACAGATGACTCTTTTAAATGTATTTGAATAACAGTGTAGCAATAATGAATGCTGACACTTGCCCCTGGGAGATGCCCAGGAGAAGAAGCAAGTGTCTTCATTCCAAATTCTGTCAGCTTCACACCTTAAGCAAGTCAGCCTAACTAGCCATGGATAATATCCCCCCAAAGGAACAATGATAGAGTAGCTTTTATAGAGCTTGATTTAACAAATACTACTCATGTTGTAAAAACATACATTTTTAGCTTTAGGTTCACTTATTTCTAATTTTTCAATTTACCATAATGGGTTTCCATGAATGGAATCTTGATTTGTAACATTATACTTACTGAGGATAAATGGTCAATGTACTGTTGCTGACTTAATCCAGGTGCTGATTAGGTTATAACCTGGAGGGAGCTTGATGTGGCCAAGTGATCATTTGTATAATTTCATTATTTGAAATTAGCCTTGATATTAGAAATATGTTTACTTTCTATACTTTATAAACCGCCAGAGTAAAATAAGCAAAATCCAATCTCAAAAATACAAAATACGAGGTAACGCACACACACACATGCACACACACATTAGTAATGAAAATGGCACATCAGGCAATATGTAACAAAGAAAACCTGTGTCATAATAATAAATACTGTGTGCATATGCTAAAAGAAAGATAATAATCTTAGGTTTATGTGAAATTAACATCTATGTGTGCCTTGTTAGAAATACAGCCCAAATAAAATGATACAGCAGGGTTTAAAATAAATAAAAGGCCAAGAACACAGCGTAGATATTGAACAAAAAAATATGGAAGTGGCAGTATTGAATATAAGGCAGATTATATTAATAATTTAAAGAGAAATAACTGATAAAATATAGAAATAATAGTAAACTTTACTATTGAATAATTATGTTGCAAAATACACATGGTCAACCTTTCAGTAATTTAAGATATTTTGACAGAGACACAGTTGCTCACAGTTTTTAACTTAACCTCAACTTCTCACAAGTCAGACTGACAGAAGAAAAGAGGTAAAGTGAGGGTGATTTTACATACCTGGGTTCAATTAATATTTTACAAATTGAAAAGATAATGACTAAATTCTCAAATGACCAACCAATTATATATATTACATAATCATAAATAACAAAGATAATGAAAATTCATCTCCTAGGAATTTTAAAAAGATATCTTAAATAATAATTGGTTTAAAAATACAGTGACAGATTAATTTGTTTTTATATATCTAAAATAAAAAAATATAATTGTTAAGATCTTAGAAGGTAAATGAATCTCTGGTTAAGAAACATGCTATAAATATGAACTATTTGTAAATCATTCATGGTGTAATGGTGTAATTCATGGTGTATCATGGTGTAATATTTAAGAAAGGGAATAAGAACCCAATTCTGGGAAAGAGAGGAGATATGAAAGTTATAAAATAAGGTTTGATTAAATTTGGGAGTTTGACTTGGGGTTGATATGAATACATGGTATTTGGTAAAATATACAAGCAATGCTTTTTTTTAGAATTGATTTCAAATTTGGGATTATATTTCTAAAGACAAAAACTTACTTAAAACTTAGTTTCTGCATTTCAGAGTGCATTACTAGAGGGATGTTTACAAGCTTTCATAAATACATATGTAGTTGTTTGTGGATAAATACTGACCTGCAATAAAAAGTGTGTCCAGGTCCATCAACACATATCCCTCCGTTAAGGCAGAGGACCACATTCAGATCATGCTCAGTACAACTGCTAACATTTACTTCACAATATGTACCATTTGGGCAAATGCAAGTAAAACCATGGGCTGCCTTCTGACAGAAGCCTTCATTCATACAAGGGATGGATGTGCAGTCCTAAATTATGAAATAGAGAATCAAATTTGATTATTAGTGTTAAGACTAGAAATCTTATTAAAATTATATTTTTGTTTAAATATTTTTAAGAAACCGATATGCAAGCTTATCTGGTATTCCCTTCCTCTAAAAACAGAAATATTTATTTCTAGTAATAGATGTTTAACTTTTATCACCAGAAATACTTTTCAAATGTTTCATTGTGGATTTTTCAGAAAAAAATAAACTTTATTAGACTTTATTAAATTATGTGTTATGTGCATAATACCAGGATTTCACTGACACTTAGTATCCACCATACAACCCCATTTGCCTGGCATAGCTCCAGTTTAACTCTGCTGTCTTTGGGTAATGATTAACAGTGTCTCATTAACTTTCAAAGGAATCTTGGGTTTGATTATATAATTAGAACAGACAATTCACTATTGATGTCCCTCTAAAACAAAGCATCTATAATATCTGAGTTTTTATTCCATTTACAATCTGTTTTTCATCAATATTATTCATCAATATTAACAGGTATATATTTTTTCAGCTTTATTGAGGTATAATTGATCAAAAAACTCTGTAATATATTTAAAGTGTACAGTGTGATGATTTGATATACATAACCATTTTGAAAAGATTCAAAGTTATGGAGTTTATTAACACTATGGAGTAATTAACATATCCATCACCTTACATATTAACTTTTTTGTTGGGGGTGGAGTTAGTGAAACACAAGTGTTTCTTTTACAAATTTTAATTATACAGCACAGAATTATCAATTATATTCACGATGTTATATATTAGATTCCTAGAACTTATTCAACTTATAACTGAAAGTTTGTACCATTTTTCAGCCTCTCCCTATTTTTCCCACTCCCCTCCCCAAAGACCCTATCCCTCCAGGGCTCTGGCAACCACCATTCTACTCTCTGTTTCTATGAGCTCAACTTTTTAATTGAAATTTTTTTAGAATCCACATATAAGTGATATCATGTACATCTGTCTTTCAGTCTGGCTTATTTCACTTAGCCAAATGTCCTCCAGTTTCATCAGTGTTGTCACAAATGACAGGATTTCCTTCTCTTTTTAAGGCTGAATATTATTCCACTGTATATATGGACACCATATTTTCTTTATCCAATCATCTATTCATGGACACTTAACATTGTTTTCATACCTTGCCTATTGTGCCTAATGCTGCAACAAACATGGGAGTGCAGATATCTCTTCAAATAACAGTTTCATTTCCTTTGAATATTTACCCAGATTTCGATTGCTGGATCATATGGTAGTTCTATTTGAAGTTCTTGAAAAACCTCCATACTGTTTTTCAAAGTGGCTGTACCATTTTACATTCCCACCAACAGTGCACAAGGGTTCCCTTTTCTCTACATCCTTGCTGCATTTGTTATCTTCTCTTTTTGATAATAGACATACTAACAGGTGTGAGGCAATAGCTCATTGTAGTTTTGGCTTGCATTTCTGTGATGATTAGTGATGTTGAGCACATTTTAATATACCTGTTAGCCATTTGTACGGCTTCTTTGGAGAAATGCCTAACACATTTTTTGCCCATATTTAATTGAGTTATTGGGTTTCTTTTTTTTTTTTGCTATTGCATTATATGAGTTTCTTATATTTTTTGGATATTAATCCTTTATCCAATATGTGGTTTACAAACATATTCTCCCATTCTATAGGTTGCCTTTTCATTTCGCTGATGGTTTCCTTTGCTGTGCAGAAGCATTTTAGTTTGATGTCATCCCATTTATTTATTTTTGCTTTTGTTGCCTTTGTATCAAATTTTTTAAAAAAATGATTGTCAAGACCAACGTCAAGGAGCTTACCCACTATGTCTTCCAGGAGTTTTACAGTTTTAGGTCTTATGTTCAAGTCTTTAATCCATTTTGAGTTGATTGTTGTGATGGTGTAAAATAAGGGTCCAGCATCATTATTTTGCCTATGGCTATCCAGATTTTCCAACCCCATTTATTGAAGAGACTATCCTTTCTGCATTGTATATTCTTGGCTTCTTTGCCAAAAATTAATTGATTATATTTGTGTGGATTTATTTCTTGGCTTTCTATTCTGTTCTATTGGTCTATGTGCCAGTTTTTATGTCAATACCATACTGTTTTGATTACTATACCTTTGTAATATAGTTTGAAATCAGGAAGTGTGATGCTTCCAGCTTTGGTCTCTCTACTCAAGATTGCTTTGTCTATTTGGGGTCTTTTGTGGTTCCATATGGATATTAGGATTATTTGTTCTATTTCTCTGAAAAATGCCTTGGGCATTTTGATAAGTGTTGCATAGAATCTGTAGATTGCTTTGGGTAATATGAACATTTTAGCAATACCAATTCTTCCAATCCATAGGGAATATCTTTCCATTTTTTGTGTGTGTCTTCAATTTCTTGCATCAACATTTTACAGTTTTCAGTGTACAGATCTTTCATCAACTTGGTTAAATTTATTCCTAAGTATATTATTCTTTTTGATTCTATTGTAAATGGGATTGTTTTCTTAATTTCTCTTCTAATACTTTGTAGCTAGTGTATAGGCACACTTTTTAAATATTTTGTCTATTTTAAGATGTTAACAAATTAACTTTGAATGCATATAAAAGTTCTATATTTTTACACTTAAAATTTTGGAATATTGGGACTTTCCTGGTGGCGCAGTGGTTGAGAGTCCGCCTGCTGATGCAGGGGACATGGGTTCATGCCCCGGTCCAGGAATATCCCACATGCCGTGGAGTGGCTGGGCCCGTGAGCCATGGCCGCTGAGCCTGCGCGTCTGGAGCCTATGCTCTGCAGTGGGAGAGGCCACAACAGTGAGAGGTCCGTGTACCACAAAAAAAAAAAAAAAAAAAAAAAAAAAAATTTGGTATACTAATTGTGGTGTCCAAACCAATCACTCCTCAGGGAGAAGCTGGGAGTTAGGGGTCCCCTCGTTTTGTATGTTGTTATGCCAGGTCTGGGGTTTATGGTGAGGGTGTGTCTCAGCCTTTTCTATCCATTTCAACGTGTATACTTTCTCAGTTACTGATGTGTAGTAGTTATCCAGCTAGTTTCTGGATTTCTCTGAGGAAGAATTGTTCTGTGCATAGCTGTGCATCTGTGGCAGGAGCAAAATGCAGAGCCTCATATATTGCCATCTTGATCCAGAAGTCTTAACGTGCATGAAATCATAATCTTTTAATTATCCAGTATTCCTATGCATGTATCCAAATTTATGTCCAGTATTTCTGATGCCTATCATCCCAGAAGCAGAGAGGTGTCATGGAGTCAGAGGAACCTGGATGATGTCTGTCTCTTCCTTTTCAATCTTTGGCATATTTGTATACTTCTCCTACTTTTACTCAATCAACAAAGGTATTCAATTTATTGTAGCTTCGTTTATGCATGAAATGGCAATAATCTCACTTACCTCATAAAAATTCCTATGATAATTAAATAAAATAATGACTATAGAGCAATTAACCCTCTTCCTGGGACATAATAACTGTTCAGTAAATAGTATGTTCTTTCCTTTACACTCTGAAGGTCAAAGGCCTTGTCAGCCTCTATTTCAGTCATTTGGAACTTGCTTAGGATAGAAAATGAGTTTTTCAGTATAGTTAATGTCTACTAAATCATACTATATACTTCTTAAGTTCATATTTTAGATATTATATACTTGCTGGTGTTCTGGAAAGCACGGAACATGTTGCCTTGAACATGATATGACACCTGCTTACAATGTAATGATAACTCTGAAAAGATTTGCACCTATAATTCTGAGAAATAATTTATAGAACTTTATGACATCATTAGTAAAACTTTAAAAATGTATTCTGAATATGTTGTCCACACAGAATTTGTTAGTGAATATATACAAATATGATTCATTTGCACTGTGGGTTCTCAAGTTAGTACATCTTCAAAGGTAATTACCTATACAAACATGAGATAGTTTTTTAACATTTTACCCTGAAAAGTAATATTTTCTAGAACAATCATTAGTTGACACTAATGCTTCTAAACATTTAGTGACTTTTAAGAAGTGTTAACATAACAATAAAAGCTCAAACTGACAAGGCTAATGTGGGAGCCCTTGCATTCATATCATGCATCAAATGGAAAATTAAAGGTTTGTCAAAATCACCAGAGAGTTTAATTAGTGTCATTTTCAATAAGAAATTGGCTGTGCACTTGAGTATAAAACTCAAGTTATGCTTGCAACCCAGATGGTGATCTTTTACATTCGCCTAAGTGATAGAGTTAAATGTATGTTTTTTTAATAAATGAATACCATTCTGGTATTCTACTTTTGCTGAAAATGTGAACTCCTTAAGGACAACCAAAGGCACTTAGACTTGGGGCAGGTACTGCAGTTATTTTTATGGATGTAGGATTCCACAGGGAATGGCGTGGAAACCTGTTTCCCTCTTAGTCCTAAGGCGAGGTATATTTAGAATGATTTATTAGAAAGCATTACATAAACTAATTGAATTATATTTCCAATGGGAAGAAAGAGATAGTTTTTAGACTGCCAAAAGTTCTGTCTCTAGGGTTTACAAGAATCTTTTACTAAATTAATTAGAAGGCTTAATGGGAAATACAAAAGCAATTTCTTTTTAGAAAAATCAAATTATCATTTAAAGTTCTTGATATTTCCTCTTTCAAAAATTAAGGAAGATGCCTTTCCCTTTGTTCATCATTATTTATATTACTTTGCTATACTCTATTTAATATAATAAAGTGCTTCCCAAGAAGAATTCACTAAAATTTAATTCAGAAAATGACAGAAAGAAAAGGCTGGTATGTTTAGAGAGAGAGGAGGAAGCTGGGAGTAATGTTGCAGACCAGGGCAATCTAGACAATTGAGCGAGACCCCAACATTCACTCAACTTGTATTCAAAACACCAAGTCAGGAAATGTACAAGACTGTAAGAATAACAGAGCAATGATGTATTCACTGTGGACTGTTTAGACTAATAAATGTGCAAGTTAGCTCTCTGACAGTTGT